TTTTGTGTTCGTTATGAAGCCACAGCATTTAGTTTATTTGGTTATCAACAAATTTAATTTTAAATTAAGAAATTTTCTAAAGAAAAATAATTTTAAATAATTAAGTTTTTATATTATTTAAAATTGAGGTAAATTACTTTGTATACATTACTTTAATTTGTTAATATATAACATTAAAAAAAATATTATTTAAATTTGAAGAATTATTGAAAAATAATTCATTATCAAATATGAAATATTGGTAATTCAGCTTTTTAATTTCAAACAAATGAACAAATTATTAGAAATTTCTGCAAAAATTGGTAATATTGAAAAAAATCATTAGACTTAAATTGAAAAAGGAAGATTAAATTTATTATTTTTATAGATTGCTATTTAATTTAAAAAAATATGTATATTTTATTTATCAAATTAGAAAGATATATTTTCAACGGGGGAAATATTCAAAAATATCTTTGAAAAAAAAACATTTAATCGATTTGAAAGTCTGAATTTATAAAACCGACGAGTACGGCCATTTCAAACTTAAATTGTGGACACTTCAGGAGATTTCGTTACAAACATCAAAAAAAAATGAAATTCAAATTTAATAAAATATTGACAAGTATTGAACAACAAATTAGATGGAAAAAAATCATAAGAGTTTTTGATGAAACTAGGTGTCCTTGAGAAAAAACAACGAATATTGAGTTAACTTTTTTCCTTTTTCCACGATCATTGGTCCTTAAAAAATATTTTTTAAAAATCCACGATCATTGGTCCTTGAAAAATATTTTTTAAAAATCCACGATTAGTGGTCCTTGAAAAAATGTTTTAAAAATCAACGATCATTGGTCCTTAAAAAATATTTTTTAAAAATCCACGTTAATTGGACCTTGAAAATTTTGTTTTTTTAAATCCATGATCATTGGACCTTGAAAAATATTTTTTTAAAAATCCACGTTCATTGGACCTTGAAAATTTTGTTTTTTTTTTTAATTCACGTTCATTGGACCTTGAAAATTTTGTTTTTTTTTTAATTCACGTTCATTGGACCTTGAAAATTTAGTTTTTTTTAAATCCACGTTCATTGGACCTTGAAAAATACTTTTTTAAAAATCCACGTTCATTGGACCTTGAAAATTTTGTTTTTTTTTAAATCCACGTTCATTGGACCTTGAAAATTTTGTTTTTTTTTTAAATCCACGTTTATTGGACTTGAAAATTTTGTTTTTTTTTAAATCCACGTGCATTGGACCTTGAAAATTTTGTTTTTTTTTTTTTTAAACAAGTTCACGTTTTTAAATCCACGTTCACCTTGAAAAATACTTTTTAAAATCCACGTTCATAGGACCTTGAAAAATTTATTTTTTTTAAAAATCCATGTTCATTGGACCTTGAAAAATTTATTTTTTTAAAAATCCATGTTCATTGGACCTTGAAAATTCTTTATTAAAAATACACGTTCATTGGATCTTGAAAATTCTTTATTAAAAATACACGTTCATTGGATCTTGAAAAATATTTTATAAAAATGCACGTTCATAGGACCTTGAAAAATTTATTTTTTTTTAAATCCACGTTCAATGAACCTTGAGAAATTTGTTTTTTTTTTTAATCCACGTTCATTGGTTCTACAAAAAAAAATTATAAATCCACGTTCATTGGACCTTAAAAATTTGTTTTTTTTTTTTTTAAATCCAATTAAATTGAAGTTCATTGGTCCTTGAAAAATATTTTTTTAAGAATCCAAGTTCATTGGTCCTTCAGAAATATTTTTGAAAAATATTTTCCACGTTCGTTCGTTCTTGAAAATTATTTTTTTTAAAAATCCGTCTTCATTGGTCCCTGAATAACCAAGTTCATTGATCCTTAAAAAAGATTTTTTAATAATCCACGATCATTGGTCCTTGAAAAATATTTTTTAAAAATCCACGTGAAATGAAAAATATTTTTTAAAATCTACGTTCATTGGTCCTTGAAAATTATTTTTTTAAATTCACGTTCATCGGTCCTTAAAAAAATAATTCTTTAAAATCCACGATCATTTCTACTTGAAAAATATTTTCTTTTAAATCCACGTTCATTGGCCCTTGAAAAATATTTGTTAAAAGTTCAAGCTCATTGGTCCTTTAATATATATATTTTAAAAAATTCACGTTCATTAGTCCTTGAAAAATATTTTTAAAAAATCCACGTTCATTTGGACCTTGAAATTTTCTTTAAAGTCCACATACTTTGGAAGTTCAAAAATTATTCTTCAAGATTATTGGCCCTTGGAAAATACATCCTAAAAACTTCCCTAAAAAAAATATTTAAAAAAACCCACATAGTTCTTCAAAAATTATTCTTAAAAAAATCCAGTTTATTGGCCTTTGGATAAAAAATTCCTTAAGAATTCGCGTTTATTGATACTTGAAAAAAAAAATATTTTATTAACTCCACGCTGGTCCTTAAAAAAATCAACGTTTGTCCTTTAAAAAATGGAGCATAAATCTCATATTCACACCAGATCTAATGTAGGTGAAAGTATAGCGTCTTGCGAAGTTTAATGAAATATCATTGAGTTTTGGTCATTTGTGTTCCACTTCATTTCATATTCACACCAGATCTTGTGTTGGTAGAAATATTGGAATGTATGAAATTTGCAGTGATTATTCAAAATGTTAATCCCTTTGTGGGGGAGGTCACATAAGTAGTGGGCCTGACATAGCACAAAGTTAGACCTCATCTAAGTCTGATATAAATATTACAACGTGCCAGATTGGGACTATATCGACTATTTCCTTCACTTTATATGAGATATGTGGTAAATTGTAGGAAAATGTTTCAATACGCGTAAGGTACCAGATATAGTAGACCGAAGTATCCCAACTCATCTAGTACTTATAATAATGTTTTAAAATTTTAAATTTAAAGAAATTCTAAAATGTATATTCCATTACCAGATGGGGGAGGTACCATTTGGGTGGGCAGTTACCTATCATTGGAATTGGGCCCTTAATAGGAAAGAGGAGAGGACCGAAATGTACCATTCTCGCATCGACCTCGCACTGATACAAATATTGCGATTTGAACAATTTTTTGGATTTGGATTTGAATTGGATAATCCTATATTTTTCCTTTAGGTAAATTATTTTCTTTGAAAGACTTTCCCTTTTTGGAGGGTTGGTACTAGAAAGAGTGGACTGATATTGTCTATCTCCGCACTCGATCTAAGTTTGTCGCGAAGGCAAAACTCCCAAAATTTTCAAAAAAAAAGAAAAAAATTCAGGTCATTAATTCCAATTGTGATGATATTTATTCTAATAATTGGAGAGATCAGAATTGCTATGCTCAATTACTTCTCCGAGGAAGACATAATAATTTTAGCTACCTAAACCATAGATACGAAACCATATTATACCACTAACACCCCTCATCACAAAATTCGAAAGATGCTCGTTCGTCGCCCCTTCATATTTTTTATTCTCCTAATTGAATTTCCATATTTCTCTCCCGCAATTCTAGATCTAGGAATTTCAAAATATTTATTTCAATACAAATTGGGGTGTATTTACAACTTCAAATGAATTATATCTGACCGTGGACTTACAAAAATATTGTGATGTGTGTAATTTGAAGTGAACCGGATGCTTATTTCGGATTTTATTAACGTTTTGGTTATTCAAAACTTTGACCCTTTGTGGGAAAGGTACCAGATGGAAGGGTCCGATCTCTACCATTTTTATAATAGATCTTGTGTTGATAGAAATTTTGAGATATGCCAAGTTTGAATGGAATCGAATGTTAATTTCGTGTTTTATGATTGAAACGAAAATATTGATTTTTTAATTTGAATACAATCGGACACTTACATCACATTTTGAAAGAGTTATAATTATTCAAAATTTTGACCTTTTGTGTGGAGTTTGCTGGATGAATGGGGACCGATATTGTCCATTTTCTCACCAGACCTAGCACTGATTCAAATATTAGGATTTGCAAAGTGGGAGCAAAATCGAATTATACTTTCAGTAGTAAGTAATTATTATTGCAGTAAATTATTTTCTTTAAAAGTGTTGACATTTTGTGGGGAAGGTACCAGAAGGAGTGGACCGATATTTCCCATCTCCGAACTCGATATAAGTTTTGCAATAATAATACGATGTACCAAATTTGGATCAAATCGGATACTCCTTTCGAGAGTTATCGTGCGCACCAGCCAGACAGACAGAGAGGCAGACAGACCGACGAACGAACATCGCTAGATCGACTCCAAGTGTCCTGAAACGGATTTGGTCCAAAGAGACCTAGGGTCTAAAACCGTTATTTCGATGACATACGTTTTGACCGTATCAAATGATATATACCCTCTCTCTCTAGCCATTAGACGAAATCTCCAAAAACCTTATTACATCTTAAATACATTTGAACATCCAATTGAATTTTATTTTCCCCATCGTTATAGAAATATAGTTAATGACTTCAAGTTAGAAATTAATTACTTTCCATAAAATCATTAGGTCTTCAATTCACTCAATCTCGAAGATTCAAGGCAATTTTGTTTTAGCATCTTGATCGAAAAAAGAAGAAATAATAACAATAAATAAATAAAAATCGAAAAATGCATCTATTATCCCAGTTTGATTCCACTCATTTTCTATTATCCGTATTCTCAAAAATCTCTCATGAAATTTTTCAAGGTCTGATCACCGATAGGGCAATAGAAACACTATTTTTCTGAGATCTGAATATTCAATAACTTACATAATGTTATAATAACCATAGAAACCAAAAATACAAAAAAAGCTAAGTTAGCCATTATGAGGACGACCTAACAATTACTTTATAAATTCTTTTCGTCTTCAACTCCTTATGGAATACACATATGTAAACTCTGGATCACCTATAATTTTTTTTTAATTTATGTTATTTTTAATAATTTTTTCTTTAAATTGATATTAAACTTTGCTTTTAATCAAATAATATAAAAATTATATTTTCAATCATGAAAAATAATAAAAAAAAAAATAATATACTTGGGTGTTCTCATAACAAGATGCGCTTGAAGAATTTATTTATTTAAAATAGAATTTGTACAATGTTTTGTTTGATGATTATTTTTATGGATTTTTTTTTTCAAAAATAATTTTTTAATGATTATTTTTAAAGAAAGAAAAATTCTTTACATAAAAATTATATAGGCCAGCTAACATAACATAAATTGAATTGCTTTTTTTGGAAAAGAAAAAGAAAGTACAAAGTCTTTTACTTTATTAAAGTAAATTTCGCAATTTTAGGTTCCTTTAGAAATGAAATTTTTAAAATTTCTAAATATTTCTGAAAATTTCTAAATAGAATATTACAATTATCAAAAGAAAGAAGAAGTAATTGGTTTATGTTTTACTAAAATTTGTGTTTTTTTTTTCTAAATAAAAAATATTGCAATTATCAAGAGTAAGAAGAAACCAAAAGACATTATGTTTTACAAAAATGTGTTTTGTTGTAAAGTTTGCTTTGCAATCGATAACTAATTAGAAAAAATAATAATTCTAAAACAATTTGTGAAACTTATCAATAAAAAATAAAAAATAAGAATTAATAATTAAAAAAATTTAAACTAAAAGTAAAACAAATCACAGCTTTGAAAGAAAAACATTTTCAAACTATATGTATAATAATATGGTATATATAGATATAAATAAAGATGATTCTTTGTTTTTTTGTGACATATTTCACTTGTGATTATTGTCTGGTTTTTGTGACCGACCGACAACATTTTATATGCGACTACAGAAATTATACAATAATTGTTTATCCTCGAAATGATAGACATTGTTGATGTGACGCAACACCCGGCCATTGACCAAATGTTTGGCATAATGGACAGCCTCAAGGCGATCTTTCGAGAGGCCAACCTCAATGAGCCAATCGACAAATTCGCAGCCATAGAATACTTTGCGATAGGTTTTGATGCGCCATCTGGAAAAAGTAATAATTTTGGATAATTAAAATATTCCATTTTGAAAATAGTTTTTTGGTTGAAAATCTTACCTGCGATCCTTGGCAATGTCTTTCTTGCAATTCTCCAAGTGATGTGTTCTAAATTGCTCGCAAATGTGCTTTGTCTCCTGGCTAACCTGGGACCAGTGGGGCAATGTGACAACATTAGCACCATACCTGAAAAAAAAACGATTAAAAATATAAATTCATTAAAAATACATTTTGAAATAGTTTTTATAAAAAATATAAAAAAAGTAAAATAAATTATGATTATTCAAACACTTGACCCTTTATGGGGAAGGTTCCGAAGCACTTGGTCAATATTGACCAATTCGTATCTGACCTAAGACTGATATAAATATTACAGTTGGATACTTATTTCGCTTTCTTTGAGAGTTTTGTTTTTCAAAATCTTTAACCCTATGTGGGGGAGGTACCAGAAGGAATGGTCCGATCTCTACCACCTTTATAACAGATCTTGTTTTGGTGGAAATATTGAGATGTACCAAGTCTGAATGGAATCGGATTTTAGTTTCCCGTTTTATGAGCCTAATGTATACTCAAAATTTTGACCCTTTGCGGGGAAGGTACCAGAAGGAGTGGTCCGATCTCTACTATCTTTGTAACAGATCTTGTTTTGGTGGAAATATTGTGATGTACCAATCCTGAATGGAATCGGATGTTAATTTCGTGTTTTATGAGGTTCATGGATATTCAAAATTCTGACCCTTTGTGGGGAGGTACCAGAAGGAGTGGACCGATATATCCCATCTTCACTGCAGATCTTGTGTTAGTAGAAATCATGCCATGTGTGAAATATTTATAGAACCGATCGCATAATTCGGATCTTATGATCGTTTTTGTTATTCAAAACTTTGACCCTTTGTGGGGGAAGTACCAGAAGGAATGGTCCGATTTCTACCATCTTTATAACAGACCTTGTGTTGATGAAAATATTGAGATGAGCCAAGTCTGAATGGAATCGGATTTTAATTTCGCATTCTATGAGCTTCATGAATATTCAAAATTTTGACCCTTTGTGGGGGAGGTACCAGAAGGAGTGGACTGATATATTTCATCTTCACACCAGATCTTGGGTTAATAAATATATTGTGATGTGTGTAATTTTAAGACGACCGGACTCTTATATCACATTTTTATAAGAGTTATAATTATTCAAAATTTTAACCCTTTGTGTGGGATGTACCTTATGGAGTAGACCAATGTTGTGAAGTTTCGCTCCTGACATAGCATAGTAGTGATGTAAATATTAGGATTTGCAAAGTTGGAGTAAAATCGGATTATCCTGTCTCTTTCAGTGCAATATTTTTTTTTTTTTTTTGAAAATGTTGACATTTTGTTGTGGAGGCACCAGAGGAGTGGACCTATATAGCCCATCTCCGAACTTGATCTAAGTTTGACAATAATATTACGATGTATCAAGTTTAAATAAAATCGGATACATTTGGGCTAAAATTACACGTTTGGTGCAAAATAAAAGGCAAATCGGACGAAGATATATGTGGGAGGTATATCCAAATCTGAATCGATCTTTATAACATTTGGGAAAGGTATTTCTGAGCTGCATTTGATATATTTCCCCTAATACCTTTGTTACAGAGTGCATATTACGTCTGCGGAGTACAAAAATATCAAATCGGATGAAAAATATATATGAGAGATATAGCCATATCTGAACCGATTTCGATCAAATTTGGCACACTTATTTCCAGGCTTAATTTGGTCGTATATGCAAAATTCCATCCTATTTGAGCTAATATTAAAAGTTTGGTGCACAATAGAAGGCAAATCGGACAAAGATATGTATGGGAGCTATGTCCGATTTTTTACCGATTATCTCCAATTTCAATAGGGTTCGTCCTTCGGCCAAACAAATCACTTGTGCACAATTTCATCTGGATTGGTTAATAAATGCGACCTGTACTTTGTTTACAAAAATATATGGAAATGCATAAATCGACTCAGAATGTGATTCTATGCAGATCATCAAAAGGAACTGTGGGTTTATCCCGTTTCCTTTTGCCTTTTACAAGCAAATGCGCAAAGACATAATACCCTGACCACCTTGTGGTGTAGGGTATAAATATTTTGAAAAGTAGTCCCCAAACTTACCATATTTTACGCCACAATTTAACCAAGGGTTGCAAGAACTCTCCAATATCTCCTATAAACACAGCCATTACAATTAAACTTTGTCCGAAATTGAGGAAAGCATCCAAGAAACTCAATTCCAAATAGATGCCAGACATTCCCTCCATTACCAGGGTCCAAATGGATACAGCCAAACCCTGAAAAAAAAATGAAATTTTGAAATTAATTTTTTTTTTTCAATTTCCCCCTCCAATTTTCCTCCACACCCATACTCACCACAAACATTGAGCACAGCAATATAATAAGTAATACAATATGTTTCAGCGTTTGATGTTCATCGCCATCGTTGGCATGCTCCAGTGGTTCCAAATCACGTCGTGTCTGATCTTCATAGCGTTCAATAATCGATTGACAATTTTGTGAAGTGCTGGCACCGCAGTTGAACGATGGACTACATATGCCGGAACGTATGCCATTGTTACTAGAGGAAAAAGAGGAAATCGTTTTTTTTTTAATTATTCAAGATAAAAAAAGGGTTCAAAAAACCTAATATTATACGTTGCGGAATATATCTCAAAATACTAGAGTTCCTTTGCGTATGACCAAGGATAAAAGAAAAACATTGAAACAGTTTTACAATATTTCTGCCATTGACACTTTCCCCAAAAAATGAAGAAGTAAGGGAGATTTTTGCTTAGAAGTTAAAAGTATTAAATTAGAAGTAAAAACCATAAACACACAATTTTCACTTAAAATATATAAAATTCGAATGCAATTTCCTTAAAAGCTAATAAACATAGACATATCGTTTATTCTGAGAATTTAGGTGTAATTTTGAGAAGAATATTTCTTCTTTTGAGACTTTTTGCCTAAAATGAAATTTTATATTATATTCATGCATCAACACGAAGAAGAGCGAGGAAAAGTTGATCCAAAAATTATAAAAAATTTTCGTTTTTTTTGGCAACATTGGTGTAAATATTTTCTTAGTATATAATATAAATAGAGATTTCGTTTCTTTGGTAACTTATAGTGAAATTTGATGTGGAATAATTTCTTCTTTGACACTAACCTTCAAAAATTATTCTTCGTGGGGCATTTTGATTAACCATACATAGAGTATGGACTTTTTTATCGAAAAACTAGTAAAGAAAGTCTTAAAGTCGGGCGGGGCGATTTTATGATACCCTACACCACTTTGCTAATTTTGTAGAGCTCCACATAACAATTAAAAGATTTTATGGGAGAATTTAATCATACACGCTACGATTATAATTGTAATTTAAAGTTCATAGGACTAAATATGCCGAAGCATTTGAATCTTTTAAATTCGGACTTTTATTGCCCATTTGGTGCAAAATTAATTCGAAATCAGATAAAGATATATATGGGAGCTATATACAAATCTGAACCGATTTCGATAAAATTTGGCAAAGATATTTCTGAGCTGCATTTGATATATTTCCCTGAATATCGTTTTTACGGAGTGCATATTACGGCTGTGGGTAACAAATATAACAAATCGGATGAAAAATATATATAAGAGCTATATCCAAATCTGAACCGATCTTCACCAAATTTGACATACTAGCTTCTAGACTCAATTCGGTCGCATGTGCGACATTTCATCCCATTTGGGCAAATATTAGACGTTTGGTGTACAATAGAAAGTAAATCGGACGAAGTTATATATGGGAGCTATAGCTATATCTGAACCGATCTTCACCAAATTTGACGTACTATGTTCTAGACTCAATTCGATAGCATGTGCCTAATTCCATCCCATTTTGGCAAATATTAGACGTTTGGTGTACCATAAAAGGTAAATCGGACGAAGTTATATATGGGAGCTATATCCAAATCTGAACCGATCTCGATAAAATTTAGCAAAGGTATTTCTAAACTGCATTTGATATATTTCCCCAAATATTGTTGTTACAGAGTGCATATTACGGCTGCGGAGGACAAAAATAACAAATCGGATGAACAATATATATGGGAGCTATAGCTATATCTGAACCGATTTCAATCAAATTTGGCATACTTATTTTCAGGCCTAATTTGGTTGTATGTGCAAAATTCCATACTATTCGGGCTGATATTACGCGTTTGGTGCACAATAGTAGGCAAATCGGACGAAGATTAATATGGGAGCTATATCTAAATTTTAACCGATTCTCACCAATTTCTATAGGGTTCGTCCTTGGACCAAACAAATGTTGTATGGAAAATTTCATCTCAATCGGATAATAAATGCGACCTGCATTTTGTTCACAAGAATACATGTACAGACGGACAGACGGACTGACATGCATAAATCAACTTAGAAAGTGATTCTATGGAGATCCTCAAAAGTAACTATGGGTCTATCTCGCTTCCTTCTCCATGTTACAAACAAATGCACAAAGACATAATACCCTTACCACTATGTGGTGTAGGGTATAAAAAGACCACTGAAAAATTGCATTTACTGAAGACAATCCAAATCGGACATTAAGGTCTTCTATATAAGCTCAGGCAGGTCTTTCAAGTGTTGATCCTCTGAAGATCCCTATAAGATCATCTTTCTATTAAAGGCCATGCATAGATGTTCTCTCTAATAATCTTTGAAAGGATTTACACAAAGTTGAAGATTTTAAGAACTTCCACAAGTTCTAAGGACTTCTGAGTATTTTCTATCTTTTGAAGACCTCTCTTTTCAATTGGAAGAAGCCTTCCAAACAGTCCCTATCTATAGAGGATCTCTTAAAGATCTACTACTGATTCAAATTCTCTGAAGTCGATTCGAGTCGATTGAAGGTTTTATAATCGGTTCCCACGGATAGAGGACATATAAAGAATCTTCTCACAATCGAAGATCATTAACTATAGAGAACTTCTTTAAAAACCTACTATTAATGCAAAATCTCTGGGAGACGTTTTCGAAAACATTGCTAATTTCGAGTCGATTGAAGGTTTCATAATTGCTTTCCACGGATAGAGGACATATATAGCATCTTCCCAGAAGATCTTGAACCGTTTTCTGTCTCCCATATTTTGGAAGACTTTTGGCAGATCTTTTGTGTGTAGAAGACTCGGAAATAAAATCTTGGAAGGAAATAAATCTTTGGAAGGTCATGTATCTATGTATCTCGTGTCTATGGGAGGGCCTCGGATAAGAGGTGAATTTACTGTAGATCTGAAACTCTTTTCACTTCAATGAAAGTATCCCTCAAACTAACGGGATACATAATTGGACTAATTCAAAATTATTTCAAATATCAAGGTTCGTTTTCTAATTATCAATTCTTTGTAGTTACAAAAAAATTATTCATTTCCAATTCTCTTAGATCTTGAACCAATATTTTTCAGAAAACTCTGCTCCCTTGAAGATCACTTCAGATATTCGTGTATTGAATAGTTTCATCAGTCATGCAAAATATTAATCTTGATTTTTGATTGGAGCCACGAAGCCATTCAAAGTTTCGGGTCAATTGCCACATATATTTTAGTCCTCTGCGGTGCGAATCGGGAGAATTCAAAACAATATTTGAAAATTTAAATTTTTGTTATTTTTGTAACAAAAGTTACCATTTAATTTAACCACCAAATATTTTTCGATAACCATTAAAGCAGACAGGTATTGTCTTAAACTCTAGCCCTACGCAAAATTCCTCGTCAATTGGTCTATAATTGTGACCTGTAGAGCTGCTGCAAATTAAGAAAAAATGAAGGATGTTGACCCATTTCGTCTCCTACAAATTTTGCGGACTTCTACAAAAATTAAAGGCTTCTTTTATGAACCTAATCCTAAGCGCACGTAAAAGGATCGGACATTATTCCCTGCATTTATAGATTAAAATTCAAGATGATCAGAAAGTCGGAGGGATACATAGCTCGTCAACTCGTCGGGGTATGATGGTCGATATACATGTTGGTTCTAAAATCAATATTTTAAAGTGTTACAAATCTTTGTTCCAATCAAATTTATAACTCCCCCCACTACACATAGTGTTGTAATTTATAATCAGTTTTAATACTCACGTTTGATTCAATTGCTCATCTTTGGGTTCGGTGATATCCGTATCTTCTGAATCTTTTTTGTTTTGCTCCAGGTTACGTTTATTCAATAAATCCTCAATATCCACAACCACTGTTGTTGTGGGGCTTGTGGTGCTGCTGGATGAACAACAGTTGCCACTGCCACAACCACCATCACCTCCTGCACCGCTGACAGTTCTATTTGAATTGGCAACAGAACCATTACAAGGACCACCACCACCATTAGCAACAACACCATTTCCGGTGCTTGGTAACATGTCATCATCATCCGATGATGAATATGATGTATAACGACGTCTTTGATGCAAATTACCCGAGTTGGATAGCAGATTTGCTGTGGAAATTGTCGATTGGATATCAGAGTTTTCTGAAAGGGAAATAATGTTATTAAAAAATTTACGAGAAAAATTGTTTATCAAGACTTACCCGATTCTGGATTTGATAACTCCCGGGCATAGGTCAAATATTTCTCATAACGCTTCTTGTAGCGTTGATGCATAACCAAGCAGCCAACGGTTACTGAAATTGAATACAAATAATTATTACAGAGCCAAAATTAAGTAGAACAGGTTTCCGTTTCAATTTTGAATCCATCAGATTGAAAACTTTATGAAAACATCACTCTGGAACTATTAACACAGCCTTATGAAATTGTTAATATCACAAGGAAGATCCATTTTAAAACACTCTCAATGGACCTAACTTGTCCATGGAATGTTTGAAGCTGATTTCCTTAGACAACTAATTAACAATTTTCAAAAGTTGGTGTTTTAGTTAGTAACTCTTCAAATTCAAAATTTCTCATCATTTTTCAAAAGTAGAATGGCATTTTATTTCCAAAAGAAAATTTATAAAAAAAGCAGAGGCTGTTTATAGCAATGGCTGGACCTCAGAGAAATATTCTTCCTACTATTGAAGGGTGGTTCCCCTCTCTAGAAGACCCCTGATAGGATATCTGAAGGTCCTCTATTCAATGTCTTTGAAAGATATTCTAATATTTGAAGACCTTCTTTGTATCAGAGATCTTTGGAAAGTTCCCTTTGTTCGAAAGATCTTCAATCTCTAAACTACCTCTGAAAGATATTCTGCCTACAGAGGACTTCTTCTAATTACAGAAGGTCACTAAGGAGTTCTAAATCTCTTCTACACATGTGGTAAATCTTCTATTACTTAGTCTTACGCCTATTTAAGGTCTCTTGAAAGTCTTCTATTTCAAAATGAAATTTTGCCACTATTGAAGACCATTCAAATCGGACTTTACGGTCTTCTATAGACGGAAAGCCCAAAAACCAGCGCAACTGTTAAAGAACCCTAAAAGTTCGTCTTTCTATTAAAGACCTTGCGAAAATAAGTTTATTGATTTTTGGAAGCATCATCTATCTTTTGAAGACCTCTCTTTTCAATTTGAAGAAGCCTTCCAAACAGTCCCGTATCTATGGAGTATATATTAAAGATCTACTATTGATGCAAAATCTATGGAAGACATTTTTTCACACTATTTTTTTTTCGAGTCGATTAAAGGTTTCATAATCGGTTACCACGGATAGAGGACATATATAGAATTTTCCCATGAGCCGTGTTCTATCTCCGGCGTTTAGAAGACTTTTGGCAGATCTTTTGTATGTTTGAACCAGTAAAGAACCCACTTTGCTAATTTAGTAGATCTCGACATAACAGTTAAAAGTTTTTATGGGAGAATTCAATCATACACGCTATAATTATAATTATACTTTAAAGTTCAAAAGACTAAATATGCCGAAGCATTTGTATCTTTTAAATTCGGACTTGTATTGCCCATTTGATATATATGGGAGCTATATCCAAATCAGAACCGATCTTGATAACATTTGGCAAAGATATTTCTGAGCTGTATTTGATATATTTCCCTGAATATCGTTGTTGCGGAGTGCATGTTACGGTTGTGGGTAACAAATATAACAAATCGGATGAACAGTATTTATGGGAGCTATGGCTATATCTGAACGATCTTCACAAAATTTGACATACTAGCTTCTAGACTCAATTCGGTCGTAAGTGCCAAATTTCATCCCGATTGGCAAATATTAGACGTTTGGTGCACAATAAAAGGTAAATCGGACGAAGTTATATATGAGAGCTATATCCAAATCTGAACCGATCTCGATAAAATTTAGCAAATGTATTTCTGAGCTGTATTTGATATATTTCCCCAAATATTGTTGTTACAGAGTGCATTTTACGGCTGCGGAGGACTAAATAACAAATCGGATGAACAGTATATATGGGAGCTATATCTATATCTGAACCGATTTCGATCAAATTTGGCATACTTATTGTATGTAACCCTTTCAATTGTCAAATACCTATTGATCTTTTATCACCATTTAAACTTCTAATCTTCATTGAGAAAACCGTTTCTATAAAATACTCAATTTAATCCAAAAACCGATATTGAAAACCACTTCCACCAAATAAAGATGCCTAAAAGAACTTTTGAAAGTCTTCTAATTTCACAAAATACTTAATCCATAGAAAACTTATGGAAGGTATTCTATCTATAGAGAATTTAGGAAAGTTATTATTAAAAAAAAAAACAGTAAAAAATCCACTGCTATTAAAGACCTATCAATAGTTATCTTTTTTAAAGTACCCCTAGAAAGTCTTATGGATAAAAGGTCCTTGGAAATCTTTTATTATTCTATTCTTTCTACTTTTTTTCTGGAAAATATTTTATACATAGAATACTTTTTTAATGGGAAACCTCTAACGAAAACTTTTGGAAGATCTCGCACCAATTGAAGACAATTAGCCTTCCAAATATTGAGGATTTTTGGAAAGTCTTCTATTTTAAGAATATCGTCATTCTATAGACGACTTCTTAAAAGTGTTCTACATATAGTGAACTCCAAAAGCGGTTTCAATTTTAAGAAAACCACTCAAAAGTCATATGTCTGTTGAAGATTTCTGGAAAGTCTTCCATTTCTAAAATTTCCCTGGAAAGACTATTTAGGTCTCTTGAAAGTCCCCTACTTCACGGCTTTCTTTTATTGGTCTGCTTAAAATAGAAACACATTGAAAGAGTTTTTTTTTTTTGTATATGAAAACCTCTGTCTTATATTGATAACGACCCTGTTTTAATAGCAAGCCTCTGAAAAGAATTGTATAGATGATATCTAAAAAGCGTCCTACCTATAGAGTACGTCAGAAAGATCTTCTAGCTTGAAAAGGCCACTGAAAAGTCATAAGTCTGTTGAATATCTCTGGAAAATCTTTTATTTTTAAAAGTTCCCTGGAAAGACTATTTAGTTCTCTTGAAAGTCTCCTACTTCACGGCGTTCTTTTATTGGTCTGCTTTATATAGAAACACATTGGTTTCCAAATTGTCTTTTGCAAACACAGCCCTCTAGAAGATCTTCTATGTATGGAAATCGATGGAATGGTTTCTGTCTTCTATTTTTTTTTAAATTTTGTAGATTGACAGGGCTAAAGGATGACCTTCTGCCTATAGAAAGTTCTAAAGAATACTCTATCTTTAAAAGAGATTTTGAAGGACTTAGCCTTTACAAAAACCGCCTTGAAGGTATTCTAGCTATAAAAGGATAAGATGATCTAAGAGGACTTTCATACATAAAATACCTCGGGAAGAAACATATACATCGAAAACCCATGAACATATAAAGCCTTGCGAAGATTTCCAATTATTAACGGACTCTGGAAGCTGATAAACTTTCTTCTTTTAAAACTCTTCTGCCTGAAGGAGGCGCAAAGAAGATCCTTCTTCCCAAAAATTTCTCATGGAAACAAAATGCCTTTGCAATTACAAAAATCACTTCCGTACCCACCTATAAAACACATCACCAACATAAACACCGATATTGCCGCCTGAGCATTGCCATATTGAAAACTGGGATTATGTTTCTCCCCTGACATTACATTGCTATCGAATGCCACCAGCAAACCGGAAATCAATGTTGGAACACCCCAAGCAAAGGCAATCTGCAAGAGAGCAAAAAATAATTCATACATCAAGAAATATTAAAAATATTGAAAGAAAAATCCCACTTACCATATAAGGCCATAATTTCAATACAAAACATAAACTGCGACATTGCAAGAACAGCAAAGAAATTGCCAATATACCAGTCCACAAACGAGAGCTATAGGTGCCAATGTTGAATAGGAAAAATTGTATCATCAATGGCCACTTTTGATGGTGTTCCAATTTGGACCAAAGGATTACGCCGACACAACACATTAACTGGAATAACAAAAATTATTAAAATTAAAAAAAAAATTAAAAATTTGAAAAATATTTAATAAACTGTGTACTCCTTTATGTTGTTCTAAACAAAGAGTATGTTTTCCTAACAACTCACCTGTGACAGTACCAAACAGAATGTTATGCGATGTGGTAAACGCTTGAAACGCTTTGTAGTTATCAGCAACAATAACATCCAGATACAAGCTGCCACACCCGCCACACTAATATCAAATGAGAATGCATCCAGCTCATGAAGATAGTCAATTGGATTGAGATTTGTCAACGAAATCATTTTTGCCGAAATGAACATAAGGGGTGCGGAGATGAAAGTACACAGGACCATACTTTTGGCAATCTGAAATAAGAAATAAAAGGAAATAAATTAAAATATTGAGGATATCCCAAAGGTATTTTCTTTTAAGTAAATTTCAAATTAAAAAAAAATCCAATAAAAAATAGTGTAGGACAGTCTTGGTGTGTGATAAGGCTGGGATTTTGTTAAATAAGGGTACAAAAAGTACCAAAATATACAAAAAACAAGTAAAATATTATCAGTCGTTTTTGCTGACAATTGTATACCCCCAGCCAATGTTCGATTATTTAAATATATTTTTTTAATTCTGTAATTATTATTTAAATTATTGACCCTCGATGGACAAGGTTCCGAAGCAGTTGGCCAATATTTGGCAAATCGTATCGTATCGTATAAATATTAAAACGTGCCAGACTTGGACTATATCGACTATTTCCTATACATATGTGCAAATTTTCGGAAATGTGAAAATATGCGTGAAGTAACAGATCTAGCGGACAGAAGTATTCTATTTTATACTTCATCTAATACAGATAAAAATATTGGTATGTGCAAAATTTTAAGGAAATCGAACATTTATATCCAATTTTATGCGAAATCATAAATTTCGGATCTCTGTTTGAGAGAAATATTTAGATATAGCAACTTGGAAAGAATCGCCAATTTGTTTCGAAAGTTATGACAGATATAAATATTGAAAATTGTGACCCTTTGTGGGTGAATAATGGAAGGAGTTCGCAGACATAAATTATCTTCACAACAGATCTTGTGTGAGTGAAATTTGAAGAGAGTTGGATGCTTCTTTCCCTTTCTTTGAGCGTTTTGTTTTTCAAATTCTTGAACCTTATGTGGAGGAGTTTCCAGAAGAAATGATCCGATCTCCACCATCTTTATTACAGATCGTGTGTTGATGGAAAAATTGAGATGTACCAAGTCTGAATGGAATCGGATGTTAATTTCGCTTTTCTAAACTCCGTGGATGGTCAAAATGTTGACCCTTTGTGGAGAAGGTACGAGAAGGAGTTTACCGATGTATTCCAATCTCACACCAGACATTGGGTTAATAAAATTATTGTGATGTGTGTAATTTGAAGAGAAACGGATGTTTATTTGGATTTTATGATCGTTTTTGGTTATTCAAAACTTTAACACTTTGTGGGGGAGTTAGTAGAAGAAATGGTCCGATCTCCACCATATTTATAACAGATGTGGTGTAGATGGAAATATTGAGATGTACAAAGTCTGAATGGAACCGGATATAAATTTCGTGTTTCTTGAGCTTCATGGATGTTAAAAATTTTGACCCTTTGTGGGGGAGGTACAAAAAGGTACCACACCAGACCTTGTGCTTTGTGTAATTTGAAGAGTACCGGATGCTTATTTCGGATATTATGATAGTATTGGTTATTCAAAAATTTGATCCTTTGTGGGGGAGGTACTTGATGGAGTGGATCGATATTGTCCATTTATGCACCTGACCTAGCACAGATGCAAATATTTGGATTTGCAAAGTTGGAGCAAAATCGGATTGCGTTTTCTTTCTCTAGGCAGTAAAATATATTCTTTGAAAAATTCGACCTTTTGTGGGGGAGGTACCAGGAGGAGTGATCTGATATTGCCCATCTCCAAACTCAATCTAAGTTTGACAATAATATTACGATGTACCAAGTTCTGATCAAATCGGATACTCCCTTCGAGAGTTATCGTGCGCACCAGCCAGACTCCAAATGTCCTGAAACGGTTTTTTTCCAAAGAGACCTAGGGTCTAAAACCGTTATTTCGATGAGGCAGTTTTTGGCCGTATTAAATGATAAATACAACCTCTAGCATATGGCAAAGGGTATATAAAAATTGTCAAAGGTCTAACACGAACTGTTGGAACGAATCTAAAATTTTAAGGTGAGCCTTTCGCTTTATTCTAACAAATCCAAGACCTCGAAATAATAATAGACCTCGAAAAGTTATTCTTAAAAATCCAAGTTTTGTGGCTTTAATGGTCCTTAAGAACTATTCTTAGAAATCCACGTTTGGTAGCTCAAGTGGTCCTTGAAAAATTATTTATTTAAATCCATGTTTTGTGGCTGAAAATGACCCTCGAAAATTTATTCCTGAAAATCAACGTTTTGTGGCTCAAAGTGGACCTTGAAAAAAATATTCTTTAAAAATCTACGTTTATTTGTTGAATGGTCCTTGAAAAATGTTCTTAAAAATCCTAAAATTCTAAAAGTCCTTGAAAAATATATTCTTTAAAAATCAGCGTTTATTGGTCTTTTGGTCCTTGAAAAAAATATTCTTTAAATTAAAAATCCACGTTTATTGGTCTTTTGGTCCTTAAAAAATATTCTTAAAAATTCACGTTTATTGGTCCTTGAGAAATATCCTTAAAAACGCCTTTATTGTTCGGATGGTCCTTAAAAAATATTCTTTAAAAATTCACGTTTATTGGTCGATTGCTCCTTGAAAAAATATTCTTTAAAAAATCCACGTTTATTTAGCGATTGGTCCTTGTAAAAATATTCTTTAAAAATCCACGTTTATTGGTCTTTTGGTCCTTGAAAAAATATTCTTTAAAAGTCCACTTTTATTGGTCTTTTGATCCTTGAAAAAATATTCTTTAAAAATCCACGTTTATTGGTCTTTTGATCCTTGAAAAAATATTCTTTAAAAATCCCCGTTTATTGGTCTTTTGGTCCTTGAAAAATATATTCTTTAAAAAAACCCCGTTTATTGGTCTTTTGGTCCTTGAAAAAATATTCTTTAAAAATCCACGTTTATTGGTCTTTTGATCCTTGAAAAAATATTCTTTAAAAATCCACGTTTATTGGTCTTTTGATCCTTGAAAAAATATTCTTTAAAAATCCACGTTTATTGGTCTTTTGATCCTTGAAAAAATATTCTTTAAAAATCCACGTTTATTGGTCTTTTGATCCTTGAAAAAATATTCTTTAAAAATCCACGTTTATTGGTCATTTGATCCTTGAAAAAATATACTTTAAAAATCCAAGTTTATTGGTCATTTGATCCTTGAAAAAATATTCTTTAAAAATCCACGTTTATTGGTCTTTTGATCCTTGAAAAAATATTCTTTAAAAATCCACGTTTATTGGTCTTTTGGTCCTTGAAAAATATTCTTTAAAAATCCACGTTTATTGGTCGATTGGTCCTTGAAAAATATTCTTTTAAAATCCACGTTTATTGGTCCTTGTGTCCTTGAAAGATATTCTCTAAAAATCCACCTTTATTTGGCGATTGATCCTTGAGAAATATTCTTTAAAAATCCACGTTTATTGCTCGGATGGTCCTTGAAAAATATTCTTTAAAAAATCCACGTTTATTGGTCTTTGAAAAAAAATATTCTTGAAAAAATCAACGTTTATTGGTCTGAAGGTCCTTGTAAAAATATTCTTTAAAAAATCCACATTTACTGGGCTGAAGGTACTTGTAAAAATATTCCATAAAAATCCAGGTTTATTTGTCGATTGGTCCTTCAAAAATGTTATTTAAAAATTCACGTTTATTGGTCGATTGGTCCTTGAAAAATATTTTTTAAAAATCCACGTTTATTGGTCTGAAAGACCTTGTAAAAATATTCTTCAAAAAATCCCCGTTTATTGGTCTGAAGGTCCTTGTAAAAATATTCTTTAAAAAATCCACGTTTATTGGTCTGAAAGACCTTGTAAAAATATTCTTCAAAAAATCCCTGTTTAATGGTCGATTGGTCCTTAAAAAATATTATTTAATTATTCGTGTTTATTTGTTGATTTGTCCGCAAAAATTCTTAAATTTTTTTCTAAAAAACCTTTGGTTTGTGGCCCTAATTTTTTTTGAAAAATTTTTATGGTCTTTGAAAATAATCTTAAAAATTTAAGCTTTGCGGGTCTTCCAGTCCTTGAAAATTTATTTTTAAAGATTCAATTATTGTAGCGCAAATGATTTTATTATTTTCTATTATTTTAAAATTATCCTTTAAAAGAACCACGTTTATCAGAATAATAGTCTATTGAAAATACAGATTTGAGGGTGGGTATTTTCGGAATTGTTGGAGTATTTTACTTTGCCTCAACTTACCAATTCCACTTCAATATTATATTGTGTGGCAATAACAAAAGCCCCCGGGGCAGCGGGAAATGTTCCATAGAGAAATCCGAAAGTGCTCAGCTCTGTGGTATCATTAAAATCAGAACCAGCCTGCATAATGTTGACCGTTTGACGACACACCAAGGGTAGGACCAAACTAGAATTAAATAAAAATTCATTTTTTATATTTTCCGAATAATACAAATAAAGTTTTTTCAACTCACATCTTAACCAAAATCAATATTCCGGGCAGCAGAAATTCAGATCCCTTCAATGAGCGACCTTGTCCGACAATTTTCAAACCCAGTAGAAATAAAGCTGTGGCCGAAAACGATTGACCAAAAACCCTTAAGACACTGGCCATCATTTCGGGAAGACCATTGGCAAAAATAAAGGATCCCGCCACACCCAAAAGGGTCATCAAGAGCAAGGGGTTGAAAAATAACGATTTTATGGTATTGAAAACCAGCAATGTTTTCTCATTCAAGCAGCGATTACGTTTTGCCATTTGCTCTGCGGGACATGTTTCCGGACACAGGGGAGGATTTTGTATCTACAATGGAACATTGGAGATAAGATGATTGACAGGTTAGTTAATTGTTATTAAGAAAATGTTTGCGTTTGTCAATTACTCACCTGTTCTGTTTTATTTTTAGCAATTTTGGCAATTTCCATTAAGATAAGACCAATGGGATTCAATATGGCCAATGAAATGGGTGCCATCAAATACAAATAGGAAGCATATTCCGGGTGGACATCGTGATAGAGGGCCATGACTGGAAATTGAAAACAGAGGAACAAACAAACAAACAAATAAATATAAAAAAAAAAACAACATTTAAATCCACTTAAAACTCACCTATGGGATAACCAATGGCAAAATCATTGCTCTGCGTACAGAAGATACCCAGCAGACCGGCTCGTGCATAATTCAATGGCCTTGCCACGATCAACGATATCAAGAGCACCACAAAGAATACAATTGCCTTGGATATCAACATTGCCAGTAAAAATGTCCAATTAACTTTGCTCCAATTCAATTCGACCAACGACAGAAATATCAGCGAGGGTAGGGCGAAAGTGCCCACAAAGGTGCCCAGACCTTTGGTTTCGGCATTTGTGATGATTTTAAAGCGGCCAGCGAGATAACTGCAAAGAAGAAAGTAAAAAACGGGGAAAATGAGAATAGAATTAAAATTGATTTGAAAAAAAAGCAAAAAAATGCAGGCAATAACATTGTTATTTTATATTTCAAGGGAAAAAACCTCTTATCGCAATTTTGTAACAAATTGAAATAGTTAATTGCCTTTCAAAGCTGAACCTGAGAGCAAAATAATCCAAACCAAATATTTCTTGTTAACAACATTAAAAATTGCGTCAGCAAATTTAGTTTATTGAATGTATGTTTTTTGTTTTTTTTTTTTTTTTTGTAAAACGTTTTGAATTGTATGATGTCAATCAATTTAATATTGATCGGAATTAAAAAAATGGATTATGAATTCTATATTAATTTTCAATTTAAATGCCCCTTCAGTTCAGTGACTCAGTGGTTCTCAAAGTTTACTGGAACCACTGAACATTTGGAACATTTGGCGAAATTAAATTGGAAAATATAACCAAAACGTAGAAAATACTTGACATTCTTACGTGGGTGATTATTCCGACCGGACCGACCCATGTTCATTTTTTATACCAATGATTCTGGATGTTATTCACAGATCTCCATCAAATTTCTAAGCTCTATCCTAAATATTGCGAAACTATACTATAGGCCTGCCTTTTTATACCCTTAGCCATATGGCTGCAGAGGTTTCAGAAAAGAGAGAAGGTAAAGAGAGTGAGTGAAAGAGAGAGACAAATTCAATGGTTAGGATTATTTTTTAAGTCTTTTTCCTTCCTTTCTTGATTAACCATTTCTGCAAAATTCGGCAAAATACCAAATTATGTCTTTGTCTAGTAGAAAAGTCGTCCGAATTTTTCATGGGTGCAGAAAAAGATAATAAAGAGATAGAGAGGAAGAAAAATGACAGTGAAAAAGTAATCGGAGGGAAGTTTAAGACATTTTCGAATAAATTTACCATAAAAAGAATCACAGTTTTAAAACTCACAAAATCTCTAGAAAGGCAAATAATTCCTCATTCAAAGCTCACATTAAAAAAAATAAAAATGGTGTGGACTTGAGGCCCGGCTTGAAGTGCCTTCGAGAGTACTTTCCGAATATATGGAACTTAAGGCTTTTAATTTGACATGTTTCATTTCCTTCGAAAATTGCTCTCTAAAACCTTACATTTTTAGAAAATTTGAAAAATCTGTGATTCCAAAATTATTTTTGTTTAAATTTGCTCATATTCAGAAAGAGCAAGATCCCACCTTATTATAACCTCACCGAAATTTCGGTTTTAGATCCTAAGTCTCTTTGGATCAAACGTGGATTTTTAAAGATTATATTTTAAGACTAATATAGCCTATATTATACCCTTCACCATTGTATGGAGGATATATTAACTTCGTCATTTCGTTTGTAACACCTCGAAATATTCATAATAGACCCTACAAAGTATATATATTCTGGATCAGAACAGTGTGGCTTGTTTGTTCGGGATACCGTAGTATTTTGTTGTTGCAAAATGGCCAGGCTTTATACCTTTATTGTTGTTTTTATAAAAACAAATTCTAAGACGATCTAGCGGTACCCGTCTGTCTGTTGTAATCACGTTGTAATCTTTCGAACAAATTGAGATAGAAGGCTAAAATTTTGCATACATGCATAGTTTACCAGTAGGCAGGTTATGTTCGGAAAAAGGCTATATCGGTTAACGTTTTCGTAAAGCCCCCATATGGTATTCGGTATTTTCATGATTTTAACGACATTATTTACCGGAATTATTTAAAATTTCGTACTTGAAGGTTGTAATGGGTACCACAGCTTATGACAAAAATTCTTGTATGCCGGTCCAAGACTTCGTATAGCCCCCATATAACGCTACCTGCCGATATTCGATATTTTGATGATTTCAGCGACATTATTCACCGGAATCGTTTCAAATTTCGTACTGGAAGATCCTAATACGCACTACAACCTATGGCAAAAAAATTGTATGCAGGTTCAGATCTTTGTATAGCTACCATATAACGGTACCTCCCGATATTCGGTATTTTCATGATTTACCGGAATTATTTATAATTTCGCATTTGAAGTTCGCAATGGGTACTACAACCTATGGCAAAAAATTTGTATGCAGGTTCAGATCTTCGTATAGCCACCATATAACGGTACCTCCCGATATTCGGTATTTTCATGATTTTAGCGACATAATTTACCGGAATTATTTAAAATTTCGTATTTGATGTTCGTAATGGGTACTACAGCCTATAACACACATTTTTGTATGCCGATCCAGGTCTTCGTATAGCCCCCATATAACATTAACAGTATTTTTTTTGAAAATTTTCAAATGGTGGAGGGAATTAAAAGTTCGGCTTATAATCGTTGATGAATTTTAAGAATATTTTTTCTAAGGCCGTCGGAACTACAATCGTAGATTTTATAGAAAATTATTTAATAATAATTATTCAATAGGTTTTAATTATATACATTTTAAAAAATATTGTTTTAAATGTCTTCAAGTCTAGGATGGTGAATATTTTCAGAGGTATTTAAGGATATAATCGTAATTTTTTTTTCAAAATATTTTATTCAAATGTCGCAATAAGTTTTTTAAAAGTTCCTAGTTTAAAAATTTGTTTTTTTTAATATTTGTTTATGGCGTTAAATTTGGATTATTATCGATGTTTCTTCAAAGGTTTTTAAGGTGCCAGAATTTTAAGAATATTTTTATTGCAAAAGGTCTCCAAGGCTGCAATCGCAATAATTTTTTGTGCATTTAGTAACGTTTTTATTCCCCAGGAAAGCTTGAAAGTTCCACAGCAGATTATTACAAAAAAGTGATTTTTAGTGATTACAAAATCGACCTATTTGTTTGTTTTTAATCACTTGTTGCAATCGCAAACAAATATGATTTTTTATTCTTTTTTTTTATTAATGAAAATATGTCAAAAGCAACACGTGTACCCATACAAATTAAACTTGGCATCTGTGCACACATATTGTGTAATTCGAGTAGTAACAATGTGCTAAAGCAGCAAGTACGGCTTTGCTCAGCTCTAGTAAATATGTGCAAAGTGTTTCTTTTATTTTTCTTTTGTCAAAATCATTTTTTATACCCTCAGCCTAATGGCTACAGAGGGTATGTATCATTTGATACGGCCAAAACGTGCCTCGTCGAAATAATGGTTTCGGACCCCAAGTCTCTTTGGACCAAATCAGTTTCAGAACATTTAGAGTCGATCTTGGAATGTCCGTCCGTCTGTCTGTCTGGCTGCCTGGTGCGCACGATAACTCACAAAGGGAGTATCTGATTTGATCCAAACTTGGTACATCATAATATTATTATCAAACTTAGATCGAGTTCGAAGGTGGACAATAGCGGACCATTTCTTTGACACAAAAAGTCGAAATTAAAAAAAATATATTTTACTGCACAGAGAGAGAAAGGATAATCCGATTTTGCAAACCCTAATATTTACATCAGTGCTATTTCAGGTGCGAAAATGGTACACTCCATCTAGTACCTCCCCCACAAAGCGGCAAAATTTTAAATATTATAAAATAATATATAACTCTTATAAAATGTGATGTAAGAGTCCGAAACAAAACTTCAAATTACACACATCACAATATTTTTATTAAACCAAGGTCAGGTGTGAAGATGGAATATATCAGTCCACTCCTTCTGGTACCTCCCCCACAAAGGGTCAACATTTTAAATATTCCTGAAGCTCATAAAATACAAATTTAACATCCGATTCCATTCACACTTGAATATTTCTATTAAAACAAGATCTGTTATAAACACGATAGGGATCGGGCCATTCCTTCTGGTACCACCCGCTCCAAGGGTCAAAGTTTTAAATAACCAAAACGATTATAAAATCCGAAATAAGCGTCCGGTTATCTTTAAATTAAACACATCAAAATATTTTTATTAACCCAAGGTCTGGTATTATATCGGTCCCCTTCTTCTAGTACCACCCCCAAAATGGATCAAAATTTTTAATATCCATGAAGCTCATAAAATGCGAAATGAACATCCGATTCCATTTAGCCTTGGTACATGCCAATATTTCCGTCCACACAAGATCTTTTATAAATAGGGTAAAGATCGGACCATTCCGTCTGGTGCCTGCCCAACCCCACATAGGGTTCAAGTTTTTGAAAAACAAAACACTCAAAGAAAGCGAAACAAGCATCCATTTCTCTTCAAATTTCACACACACAAACATTTTTGCTATCACAAGATCTGTTGTGATGATGATATATATCTGCCAACCCCTTCTGGTACCTCATCCACAAAGGGTCACAATTTCCAATACTTACACCTGTCATAACTTGCGAAGTCAGTGATTTGATCAAGTCAACAACTTGATATATCTAAAAATATAGTCCCAATATTGCACGTTGTTATATTTATATTAGACTTAAGTCAGATACGTATTGTACAATATTGGTCAACTGCTTCGGAGCCTCGCCCATGAAGGGTCAACCCTTTGAATAATCATAACTCAGGTTGAACCTAACCTAAGGTTAGATTAAAGGATGCGCGGTTGTAAAAAAACAACCTATCCACTCGGAGACCTTTTGGTCCATTGGGTTCATCCTAATTAGGAAAATACGAGAATAGAATAGAGAGAAAAAAGGAAATGAGTAGCGAAAAGTGAAGAAGTAAGAATTTGTATAGAGAGTAGAGAAATTAGTAGGTTTGTGTCCACAGTGTGTTAACGTGTCGTCTTTAGCCATTTTAGTCTTCTGGCTAACTGAAGAATGTTTTTTCTTCGTCCTGACAAAGTCCTCAGTATTCAGTACCGTCACCCCCTTAATGTTCCAATGTCCTGTAATTAGGCCCACTACAAGCTTCAAGTCCAGCTTCGTCATGCATATAAATGACCTTGACCTCCTTTCGGAGTTCACCGGCCAGATCTTCTTGGAGTCGTTACATCTCCTTCCAGTTAGCCAGTTTTGCTGACATTTCCCAAGATAATGCTTATGCAGTACTTGGAAGAAGTGACATAGGCGTGGCTTCACTGAGCTT